CTCTCCCCCCTCACACAGCGCTGCCCCCCTCCCCCACCCCCCATCAGCCCAGCCCGACACAGAGCTCCCCTCCCCGCCACCCCACAATGCCCGCCCCCTCCCCCCAGCTCTCACCTCCAAGCGCAGCTTCTGGTTCTCCTCCTCCAGGCCCCTGAGTTTCTGCTGCAGGGCGTCATACTGCACGTGCTGCTGCAGGGACAGCGAGGACTCGTTCCGCCGAAGCCTGGGGGGCAGAGGGGCCATGAGCAGCCAAAGCCCGGGCACCCGGCACCCTCTGCCACCGGGGGGGGAGCAGCCGCCCAGCCCAGCCCCGCCCACAGCATCGCCACCGGGCAGGGAGCAGCCCGTAGGCCCCCATAACCCCCACCCCCTGGGAGGGCGCGGGAGCCTGGAGAGGGGCCCATAAAGCCCCATCCACCAGGCGGGAGGAAAAGGGACCCAAGGCCCTTCCTACACCCACCTGCTGGGAGAAGGGGCAGAGCCGCTCCGGTCCAAGGAGCTTCCCCTCCGAGAGCAGGTCCCAGCGGAGGGCAGCTCCAGGACTTTAGCGTTCGGTCACTGAGTCCGGGAGATGGGGGCCCAGCTCCGGGCCGGGCAGGACACGGCTCTGGAGCGAGCGAGGCACGAGCCGTCCTGCAATGAGCTAGCCAAGGGCAGAGTCTCCCCCCGGCCCCCAGCGATGGGAGCAGAGCCCCCCCCCCGGGTCACTCACGGCGTGGCAGTGGCTGTGGCCGGCTCGCTGTCCTCCACGGTGTTGGTGTAGAGATGGAGCAGATCATCCCGCATGGAAACCTCGTGCCGCAGCTGGGCGATCTGGGGGAGAGAAGAGAGCTGGGACGGGCTCGCAGGGCAGCATGGGGGGAGCTGGCTCACCGGCCGGTACATAGAGCCAGGGGGCTCAGCGGGTGCAGGTGCCAGGGTCCTGCTTCCCCCCCGAGCCCATGGGGGGCCTTTACCTCCTCCTTGGCCAGCTCCAGCTGCTCCTCCAGGAGCTCATTACGCTCCGTCAGGCTTCGGTTCTGCTTCAGCAGGGACTGCCCGATCCGGGCCGCGAGCTCCAGGTCCCGCTCCTTCTGCAGGGGCGAGGGGGACGGGACGAGACAGGCTGCTGTTAACTGGGGCAGGCCAGCAGATACCCCATCCCACCCCCAGTCTGGCCCCTCTCCACCTTACCCCCCCACCCCCTTACACACTTCCTCCCTCCCCATCCAGTCTGACCCCTCCCCGCCCACTGACCGGTCTCCAGCCCACCCTCCCAGAACTGCTGCCCCATGCCCAGGACCCTCTTATCCCAAGCCAGGGGCCTCTCAGCATTTCGGACACGGCAGGGCACCGTGTGGGTTTGCCACCACCTCTGGGGAGGAGCAGAGATTCAGGCAAGGAGGGGGAAGCAGCTCCGCCTACCTCCTCCAGCAGGTTGGTCACCGCATCAAGATCATGGTATGTCTTTGTGACCCTGCCGACCCGCTCGGAACAGAGGACTGGGAAACAGCAAGAAAGAAAGAGGGTTGGTTCCCCATCACATCACCAGCCTCCTAGCTCCCCTGGAACGGGTCGCTTCACCTCCCACTGAAATGCAGCCACCTCTGGGGTGAAGCCATCAACTGCCCAGCTACTGCAAACTACAGCTTTAAGACAGGATGTGCAAGAGCAGGAGTGCCCAGGGAGGCAGGAAGTCGATCCCTGGGGTGCATTCTGGAACAAGGAAAGGGAAGCCAGTGCTCCCCCACCGCACGCTAGAAGCAGGAGGTGTTCAGTGGAACTGAGAGGGAGGAAAGGTGGTGCAGTGGTTAGAGCACTGACTGGGGGACCCAGGTTTGAGTCCCTGCTCTGCCACAGAGCCCTGTGTGCTTGGTCCAGACACTTAACCTCTCTCTGCCTCAGTTCCCCATCTGTACAATGGGGATAACAGGGCAGGGGCTGCGAGGATAAATGCAACGAAGATTGTGCCGTGCTCAGACACCCTGGGGCCAGGGTCTAGACAAGTGCCTTAGAGCACATTTGTAACTGTAGAGAGGGACCATGTAATTTGTGCAATACACAGTTCGCCTGTGGAACTCACCCCTACAAGGCGGCAGAGGCCAAGAGCTTGGCAGGGAACAGACATTAGATGTGGCTACTGGGAACCTCCATGGCAGGTTTAGACAAGGATCAAACCCCTCACACCCGGAGGCCGCTGACTGGGGGGAGGGTAAGGAGACGGGTCCCCGATGGGTAGGAGCCACCTGCCAAGGCCTCAGCAAAGCCCAAAGTTAAACAGAACCTCCCGGCCCCCCTTAACATTCTCCCCCTACACACACTGCACTGGAAGCTTGGTCGATCGGTCGCACACACACACACACACACACACACACACACTTTCCCATCAGCCACGCTGTCCCCCAGCCCCCGTGCTGGGGTGTCAGGTCCCTCTGCGGGACTTTGGTCAGACCGAGCTCCGTGGGGCCGGAGGGAATGGAAAAATCCAGGCCGCGGAGACGGGATTGGAAGTGACATCCCGGCACAGGGCCAGGCCGGAAACGGCTCAGCTCCAGGAGCCTCTATTTATACCACTGCCAGGCTCCCCAGGCCACGCTACTTCCAATCCATCTCCCGCCTGCCCCCTCCCGCAGGGGGTCTGGCGCCCTCGTTTCTCCCCGGAGCCAGGAGACTTCCCCTGGGTTCCGACCCGGCTCGGCTCAGCTCACTAGGGCAATGAGCTTTGGCAGGTCCCAGGCCAGCTCCGTTGCGGGTCTCCGCTCAGGACAAGTGGGACGGGTGCAATGGACACAGACGGCCAGTTCCCAGCCCACAGCCCAGCTCCCCCACCCCAGAGGGCCCCTGAAGCTAGAGAGGGATGGGCTTTCACCCGGCCTGCTCGGCCAGGCCAGCCGGGAGCTCCAGGCAGGACTCTATGCGCCCAGCGGCTTGCAATGCTCCCACTGCCTGGCCTCCGAGGGTCTCCGCTCTCGGGGGAGTGCCAGGCTCACAGAGAGGCCGGAGCAGAGGCCAAAGGGTAACTGAGGCAGGGAGCAGGCCCCACAGCCTCCCCTGAGCCACAAGGGACACGAACCTGTTCTCCCGCAGCTCTGCTCCAGCGCCGGCCATCCTGGGGTCTCCCAGCCCTCGCACCGAGTTCGGGAGGCTCCACTCCCTGGGGGCTGGGTCAGGATGGTCCCTACTCTGTGCATGGAGAAACTGAGGCACCGAGCAGGGGATTGGACTTGCCCAAGGGAACAGAATCAGCAGCCAGGAGTTGAACCCAGGAGTCCTGGTTCCCAGTCCCCAGCTCTCCCCACCCTCCCTACCCAGAGACCCACCTCTCCCTATCCGGCAGCACCACAGCACGGCCCACTCTCCCAGCCAGGCAGACAGATCCCCCCATTAGAGACCCCCTCAGCTACACCCTGCTGGGTCTCAGCACAAGCCCGCCCGGCCCATCGGCCCCTTCCTGGCCCGTGCTCGCTGCCCTCCCTGGCACCTGCTGCCCTGAGCCCCCAGCCCCCCTCCTGCCTCGACCCCCCCAGCTGCTGCAGAGCAGAGAGGGGCCAGTCGAGCGCCAGCCCTGCGAGCTGCCATGGGCCCAGGCAGACATGGGCAGGTTGCCTAAGCAACAGCAGTGAGGCTGGACACAGCCGGGCGCAGGGGGGAGATGCCCAGGGTGGAAGGGAAGCAGAAGGGGCCTGCACCATGGCAGGGGGCACGAGCTCTGCTGACACCGCCAGGAAAACCTGACAGGGCGGACGTCAGGCTCCTACCTGAGGGAGGAGCTAGAGAAACAGGAGGCGCTCCACCAAGGGGCGTGGGGTCTAGTGGTTACAGGAGGGGCGCTGGGAGCCTTGACTCCTGGGTTCTATCCTCGGCTCTGGCAAGGGGCGTAGGGTCTAGCGGTTACAGGAGGGGCGCTGGGAGCCAGGACTCCTGGGTTCCATTTGCAAGGTGATCACTGACTTGCCAAGCAGGCTGAGGGGACAAAGCATCCCAGCTGCGTGCCTCGGTTTCCCCACCTGTTGAGCGGGGACTCTCTGCCTGGGAGGGGGGAGAGGATCAGCGAGCGATCTCCCCACCCAGAGCACTAAACCCAGCTAAGCCCGGCTGACACAGGGCCCGGGGTGCCTCTAAAGTGGGTTAGCAGGAGAAGCTCAGAGATCCCACAAATCCCATTACGTTACCCCGGTCAGCGGTGACGTCGTGGCGGCGCGTTGCCTTGGCGATGCCCCCCATGCCCCCTGATGCCCACCCCTGCTGACCCTCGGAACAGCCTGTCCTGTTCCGCCCAGCTGCTGTCTTGTCAACAACCTGGCTAATCCCGCCACCCCCATCCCCGTCCCCGCCTCCTCGGGCGCCGCGCCCTGCTCCTGACACCCGGCCCGCGTGCAGGCTGGCACGTCCGCATGGCGGGCGGGGGCAGGATCCGAGAGGTCGGCCCCCTCCCCCAACGGGGCCTCGGTCTCTGCAGGGGACCCCCCAGCGCCTCATCAGGCCTCTGAACCATAATTGGAAATAATTAGAGCATGAGCTTCGTTAAGGCGTGAGTGAGTGGCAGGCCGCCGGGCGGCTGCTGGGGTCTGCAGGCTGTGCGGCGAGATACAGCCCCTCCGTAGACCGGGAATGGGCCAGGCATAGGGTGGGGGCTGTATCTCGCCCCTGGGGGTAGATTCGCTTGGCAGCCATTGTTTGGCGAGAGAAAACCACCAAGCGTGGGGATGCGAAAAGACGGGTCCGAGCCCCATCCCCTGGCTGTGCCCTGCCCCCCCCCCCAGCCCCAGCTCTGCCCCCCAAGCCATGTCAAGATCAACTGCCCTCCCCACTCCACTGCTCTTCCAGCTCTCAGCCAGCCCCCACCCCCAAAGAGCCCCTGGCCCTGCGCTCTTGGGGGAAAGACCATCTTCCCCCTTGGAGTCACGGAGACGCCAGTGTAGCCCCCCAGCCAGGGGTCCAGGGCACCAGCTCAGAGCTCTGCATTCACCGCGCCATCCTGACAGCACATTGCCCCCCCGAGCCCTTGGCACCCACGGGCCTTCCAGCCGCAGGCCCCGTCTCCCCCAACAGCCACCCTGCAGTGAGCCAGAGGGGGGACTGGGGCAGTGGCTGGGCCCCATGTGACGCCAGCCTCCCTGCCAGGTGGCTGGAGTGGGAACGTGGGTGCCACCTGCATCCCCCCAACATTTCCAGCTGGGCTGCCAATGGCAGCGCCGGGAAGGGGCCCCCCCAGCCCTGTCGGAGAGGGGTCCAGGAAAACCAGGCGCTCCCTGGGGGGGGGCCTTCTGCTGGAGGGCAGCCCACAGCCCCTGCTACTCTAGGACCACTCGGTGCCCCACACACCTCGCCCGGATGACAGCGCCCACCCTGCAGCCCTGGGCAGACGCAGGGGCACTGCCCAGGCATCGCTGCCAGCCCAAACCCTTGGGGAAGCAGCAGCCGGGCTGGACGGACCCCATTTGCCACCCTCCCCTTCCAGGAAAGGAGCCCGATAGCACCCAACCAACTGGAGCAGACTCCTGCCCGGGCAGGGCAGACGCCCAGAGCAGTTCAGGGGCTCTCAGACCCGCTCCACGCCTGCAGCACCCGCTCCGGCCCAGGAAGCCGCCCCACGACAGGAGAGCGATGGGGGGCACCCTGCCCCGAGGGGCTCCTGCACAGCACGGCACAGCTGAGCCACCGGGGCACTTCCCCCAGGCGGGGCTGGAAGCCCACTGTGGCAGCGCCCGGCCCCCCCGTGAACACACACTGCCCACGGGGCTGGGCGCACCAGTGCCACCGCAAACCCGCAGCAGGCACCAAACCATCCACGCAGCACGACCGAGCGCTCGCCCCAGCGCCAACGCCCGGGCAGGCCCAGCCACGCCGGAGGGGCAAGCTACAGACACCCCGGGCAGGGCATAGCACACGGCGCAGCCCCCAGGGATGGGTCTGGCAGATTTAGCCTTAGCCAAGCAGGGGGGTTACAGACAGCCGGGCAGGATCACCGCCGAGCGCCACGGGGCTGTGAAGGTCAGCGCTCAGAGCCCACAGGGTCAATGCGCCCATCGCCCCCAACTCACCCCTCCACCGCCCGCCCCGGCTCTCACCTTCCTCCAGCTCGGTAGCGATCAGATCCGTGGGGCTGACCAGAGCCGGGCTCCCGTGCACCTCGTCGTAGGCTGCGGGGCTGCTCCAGAACTCCATGGCCTGGGGCCCACGGAGCCCCCCCACCTCGCCCAGCTCAGGGGGAAACATGCGGCCAAGCCCCAGCTCCCGGAGCAGAGGGAAGATGCGGCTGCCGGGCTGCAGGAGCCTGTCACCGAGCAGCGGGGGGGGATTCGATTCGATTCAGCTCAGCTCAGCTCAGCTCAGCTCAGCCCAGCTCCCTCCCCTGCACCCGCTCCCTGGCAATGGTCCCCACCGCTGCCTACCCCTATTTATAGGGTCTCCCTTGTTTCTGCACCTGGCTGGGCACATCTCATTCCAGCGGGCGGGGGGGGGCAGAAGCAGCACAGACTAGACCATCTACTTGGAAAGGGAGGGTGTCCTGTTTAGAGGGGCACAGGCACTGCTGGGGATAAAGGGCTCATGGGGGGGGGGGCAATGCTGGGGTTAAGCCTGCATCTGTGGGAGTGGCTCTGGGGGGGGGTCAGTAGGAGCTCCCCCCCGCTTCCCTGCAGAATGGATCGGCTCTGACAGAAGCCCGTTGCTCTGTAGCTGCATCCTTCTGCAGTGGCACCTGGCTCAGAGCATCCCCCTGGGGGGGGGGGGTGCAGAGGCTGGCCCCCCCCACCGACCGGACAAGGCTCCCCTGCAGCAGAGCCAGCCCCTGGAGGCCAGTGCAGCCGCAGGTGTCTCCTGGGAGCCAGGCGACGGGGGGGGGGGGGCTGCCCTCCCCAAGGCCAGGGGGCGAAAGGTCCCAGCTTGGCGGGCTCCGCGGATTGAAAATCCGACCCTGACCCGACCCCTCTTCTGGCCCATAGGAGGGACCAGGGGCTCGGGAGGGGGGGCCCTGCTTCCTGGATCGTTCCCCAGTGCTGAGGGGTGTCTGCTGAGCCCAGACCCCCCCGTCCACCCCGCGGTGAGAGGAGGGGGAATCCCGGGCCAGACCCTGCAGGTGGGTCCCTGTGCAGGTCGGGGCCCCGACACAGACAGACTCTGACGGCTGGTGTCGGACAGGGGGACGCAGGGCCTTGTGGGACTGACAGTCCTGCTGCCCGGCACCCCGCTCCTGCCCCCCGCTCCCCCTCGCCGCCTGGAGCTGCATGAAAGCAGCGCCCCCATCTGGGCCACGTACGCAGTTAATGAACCGGGGCGCTTGGGGCTGATTCACAGCCCGCCTGCCACGGCGGCTGCACACCGGGAGCGGAGCCCAGACCTGCAGCATAGAGGAGGGACGGGGAAGCCTGTGAGGGTGGGAGGTGTTGGGTGGGAATTTCCTTCGTTCTGAGACACCCCTTGGTGCTGAGGGAGGTGCTGTCACCTGGCCCGGGGGGCGGGAACCCTGCCCAGCCCATCTTTTGCTCGCCGCACCCTCAGAGCTGGGGACTTGTGAGCCCCGTAGGGGCTTCTCCAGCTGGCCCGGAGAGTCCCATATGCAGGACCCAGGCCACTCTCTGTCCATGCCCACGGTGCCCTCCATCCACTGGCTGGCTGGCAGCTGGAACCGGGCTGGCTCCCTTGGGAGCTCTGCCATAAGCACAGTTGGGTGAAGACAGCACGGAGGCCCAAGCAGGGGAAGACTTGAATAATTGATGCCGGTGCTTTAATAATGGACGAGGTGCATGGGGGGAACCTTCACGAGCAGGGGACGCAAGCACAACGGGACGGGGCCAATGGGGCACGGGCAGACACAAGCAAATCCCACAATGGGCCAGCTCCCGTCCCAGAGCCGGTCCCACAGACCCCCCACCCCTCTGCATTCCCTCTCACTGTCTCAGCTCAGGGAAACCGGCCCTAGGAACCCACTCAGCACCGAGGCTGGATGGCTTCCTGCCCTTCGCCCCAGAGTCCCGCCACCCCAAGAACCAAAGAGAAACCAAGGCACAAGGCAACCTAGCAAAGTGACTTGGCCACGGAGGGAACCTATGGCTTCTAGCCCACCCCTAGCCCCCGCTCCCCTCCCCCAGCCAGGACTAGCACCCAGGCATCCTGGCTCACAGCCGCTTTGCTCTAACCACTAGACCCTCACGACTTGGCTGGGCTCAGCGCGTGTCCGTGAAGCCCTTTTCCACGAGTGAGTCTCCCCCCTGGGCACAGACCAAGCAGCCAGACCCCCCCTCCCCACCCAGGGCAGACCCGGAGCCAGGCGCCCAGCGGGTTTGCGCCCGTGGCCGGGGGAGCTGGGCTGAGACTCCTTGCGGCCGGGCAGGAGACGCAGCCTCAGCCTAATCCCCGACTCAGGGATTTGCTCCCCGGTTAGGTCCCACAATCAGATTACACGGGGCTCGTTCCACTGGCAGCTTAATGGGCCAGGTCGCGGGATCAAGGAGAGAAGCCAGCACCCTTCCCCCGCCCCCCGCTGCCTCCCGCACATGGACTGACCGCACGGGCAGCCATGCCCCTTGCTCTGGGGTGTCCCATCTGCCCAAGGTCCCTTACCGGAGATGGCCTGGTGGGACTGAGCAAACTTGGCTAAGTTCCCAGTGGTCCATTTATACTCCCTCCTCACCCCACACCTAGACCTCCTCCCTCCCTCCCATCTACAGTCCCTGCCCCCCCGGTAACTCCCTCCCTGTCAGCCCCCCCCCCCCCGGCTCTAATCTGCCCCCTCCCCTTCTGCTCTCGCAACATGTGGACAATAATCACAAACGAATCAGAGCTAATCTTGTCTGTGCCCCATACGGAACCTCTGACCCCAAAGCCCCCAGGAAGGGGGAGCCACCTGGCCCCCCAGCTTCGCCAATCCCAAGGGGTCAAAGGTCACAAGTCACCCCCCTGAGAATGGGGGCTCTGGGGGGGGGAACACAGCTCTTACCGGCTCAGCCCACAGGGAGGTGACACTGAGTGGGGAACCACACCCCGAACCTCGGCCCCAGGGCCTTGACCTGTGCCCCAAATGGAACTGGAGTGGGTGCAGGGTGTGGGGCCCGCACACCAGCCAGGCGCCCCATGGGGGGCAAGACACGTTTGGCACCAGCTGGTAGTGGCTTGGGTCCCGTGGAGAGGCCTGAGCCTGGAGGGAAAGGCCACTGGCCCCTACCTAACAGGGGGCAGAGGGAGTGGGGGGTGCACCTCAGAGGCTCCTCCTAACCATCCTCGCTGTCCCCTCCCCAGGAGCCCCCTCATTGTAACCCCCCCTCAGCCTCTCAGCAGCCCCCCGATCCCAGCCCGCAGTGTGGGGGTCCCTGAGCGAGGACGGAGGCTGCAGCGCTAAGATATTCTGGGCCTGGAAATCCCCCCACTGCTCCCGGGCAATTAGCTCCCGCACTGCTCTTGTGTCCTGGGCATGGGGGGAAGCTGCCCATAGCCCTGTGGGGCTGGCCCGGGAGGGGGCACCCGCCAGCCCCCCAGCCCTGCTCCCTGCCCTGGTTCAGCGCCCCTAGCCCCTGCCCCCCCAATGGGACCCCCAGTCCCCAGCTCCCCCCACGTCCCCTCGCTGGCCCCCAGGGGCGCCCCACGGCACTCACGGAAGTACTTCAGGGTCTCCTCAATCTGCTCGGGCGTCAGGGGGGTGGGCGCCTCGGGGGGCAGCAGGGGCGTGTGCAGCCAGTCGTCGTGTTCGTACCCGAAGAGCGTGTCGGCCCGCAGCGTGTAGTGGGGCAGCTGCTCCCCCAGCAGGCTGATGATCTCCACCTCGGGGACGTTGCCGCAGCTACACAGGTCTGGGGGGAGAGGAACGGGGTCAGTGAGGCGGGGAGAGGGTGGAGCTGGCTGGGAGGACTGGGCTAGAAGGAGGGACAGCCGTGGGGCGGGTTGAGGGGCACTGGCAGGGCTGTGGGGCGCAGGGAGCCCAGGACTGGGCTAGCAGGCGATGTGGGTCGGGATTGGGAAGCATTGGCAGATCTGTGGGGTGGGGGGGTCTCAGGGCTTGGGGGGAGCCCAGAGCTGGGCAAGCGGAGGCTGTGGGTCAGGAGTGAGGGGCACCGGCAGGGCTGCGGGGGGTACCCGGGCTGGGCTAGCAGGGGGGCTGTGGGTCAGGAGTGAGGGGCACCGGCAGGGCTGCGGGGGGTAAGCGGGGCCGGGCTAGCGGGGGGCGGGCGGGGGGG